ATATTACCTTCTGAACTCTCCCTTCAGTTAGTGGAAGTAGCATTAGACCTGGGAATGATCCATGATCAGGTAAAGCTATGACCTAGAAAGGCCCTCTCCATTCTCTAGTGGGGCCAGTGGTGCTGCGTGCGGGTTCTTGATGATCACCATCCTGTCCTCATGGAAACTGAGTAAAACCAGCCCTGTATGGAATAATCGTATTAAACTGTTATTATTTAGCCAGGAAATCCAGCAGATGCTCATATATACAAACAATAATAAGGCATACAATTAAGGATAATTGATGTGCTTTTTCTCACCTTTTTCAAAAAGATGACTTAAGACAGCAGAGTAAGATACATTTTTTTATATCCAACAGATATTTATTGAGTACTCACAGTGTGCCAGGCATGCTTTCAGTGTTATTTTCGTCCATCTAAATTAGGGAGCTGAAGATATTTAAGAAAAGGGAAAATCTACATGTAAAAAATAAGGAAAGCCCATGAAGAAGTTATTCCCCAAAATGTGTGCTGGTGGGTCCCATAATAGCCCTAGAGGAGGGCCGTCCACCTAGCTCTGGCTTTCTCCCAACCAAAGAAAGGAGTGAAATAGCATTCATGCATGTACATTTAAACACAAATCCTTTTTGGAGAAGAAATCCATAGCTTTTCATAATACGGAGGTCAGAGATTTCCACTGTAGGTCTCACAAAGAGGATACACTTTTGTGTAGTGGACATATATATCCTCAGTGACATCTGCATGGAAACATGTGGAGTTTCCTGTGCCCCCTGGCAAGCATAACGCTAATGCACAGTGTAGTCAAAGCCATCCTATAGGGCAGAGAGAATAAAGTACTTCTGAACTGCCACAATACATGGAGAATGGTATTGCACTGTACAAACTAAAATTCACACGTGTGCTGTATATTCTGGAATCTCCAGCAGATGACGCAGTCTTTCAAACATCATCAAAATCCAATTTGACTGAGTCATGATTTTTTATCTAAATCTGATACTCTGTTTTCTATTTTAAACATGTAATTAACAAATATGGCTTTTTTTCTTCAACATTGGAAACTTATTGGGAAGGATAAATCAAAATGATTTTTTAAAAATTTTCAAATTTAATTTTTTCTCTCCTGTGGATCAGTTTCTCTGTATGACAGGATTCATTGAACTACACTGTGCATTAGTGGGATGCCTTCCAGAGGTGCTGGAAACTCCATGTGTTTCCACACAGATGCTACTGAGGATATGTCCACTACCCAAAAGTGTGTTCTCTTGATGAGACCTACGGTGGAAATCTCTGATCTCAATACTATGAAAAACTACATATTTCTTCTCCAAAACTGATTTGTGTTTACATTTACAGGCATGAATGCTTTCCGTTTGCTTTGACATTCAAGTCAAAATAATAACTTCCAACAAAAGTACTCACCGGTTGGTGTGTATTTCCTTCCTGCTGATGAAGACATTTAAAAGCTTTCATTTGCATGAAGAAAACTTTTATTTACCAGCCTCTCATCAGCATTTTGTTTTACATAAATATGCAAAAGACTTGGTGTCAGATCAAACCAATGCCATCAGAAATGCATAAATATTCACTATTCTTTGTTAACCTTCCTTAACACCCTGTGCTCATGATATGAGAATATCACTGGAAAGGTAGAGTAAGAGATCATCTATATCCACTTATAAAAAGGAGTTTGGAAACAAACCAGTGTGCATCAACTCTTTACCAGGGTTACCCACTTTACGGGGTGTGAAGAGGCTTGGAAGGCTTTGTACTGTTGAGGTCAGAAAACAAGTAAGTGGCAAGATAGGATTCCAGCTGGAGCTGTCTATCCTGCCACCTGTACGAGCAGTCTGTAAACGTTTGATGAATGTAAGAATCACTGTGTACCCACTATTTGTCCGTTGCTGAAACAGCAGCAGACAGAGTGCAATGAATGTACTAAGATGGAGGAAGTAAGACAGCATGGATACGGGGTCATGCTGCAGTGACTGGGCTGACACAGTGCGTCACTGCCAAAGCAGCAATGCCCATTGTCATCAAGATGATTCCCACTCATGGCAACCCTAGAGGACAGAGTAGAAATGCCCCGTAGGGTTTCCAAGGCTTCCTTTATGGAGGCAGGCTGCCACATCTTTCTCCAGTGGAGCGGTTGGTGGGTTCAGACCATCGACCTTTCGGTCAGTGGCCAAGTGCTTACCCACTGTGCCACCAGGGCTCCTCAAAGCACCATTAACCATTTAGGATGTCTTTCATCACCATCATTTGTTTCAAGTATCTATTATCTGATTTTAACCAACGCTGGTTTTGCTGTTCTCCTAATTATTCAGATCCAAGACAAAGTCAAAGAAGTTGAGCAGAGCAAAGCCATGAGCCAGGAATTCAGCCGTCAAATTCAGCAGATAGCCAAAGATCTCACCACTATTCTAACAAAGCTGAAAGCCAAGACAGATAATTTAGTTCAAGCTAAAATGGAACAAAAGGTAAGAAATGGAACAAAAGGTAAGAAAGGAGAAGGGGAATTCTAAAGGGTGTTACTTGAATGAATTAAATATTTTTTTGCAGTCAGTTTCATTTTGAAGGTATAGAAAAGAGTTTTCCTGTTAGCAAGCTTCATTCAAATGAGATAGTTAAAGAAGGCAGGAAAGAGATTTTATAAATGTAATTTCATATATCCACTTACATAGTATAATTTACCCTTATAACAGAATTGTATTAAGAAATTTTCATGCATGTGTATTCAAGAGGGAAGACTGTCAGACAGCTCAGTGATGAGTTGGGAATGTTGTTGTTGCACTGCCAACCTTTCAGTTAGGAGCTGGGTGCTTAGGCACTGTGCCACCAGGGCTCCTGATTTAGGAATACACGTATGTAAATCCCAAAGAGAACTTTGTTTTTGGCAGTTAAGTCTGTGTTCACACTCTGTTGATGAGTTAAGTGGCTCAGTGAGTTTGTTTTTTTTAATCCTTTTTGGGTGGGGCAGAAGGAAAATGTTCATCTCTTAGTCAGCCTTATAGGAAATAAACACCAGGATTACAACACAGCCTGCCCTACCCTGCCTCCCCAGCCCTTGCAACAGACACACCGGGCTCCTACTAGAATTATTCTTTGTACTATCACTCCTTCTAATCTTGGGCAACCTGGAGAAATTAATTTGGTAGAGTACAATGTTATTTCATGTTGATGCCCATCTAGGCACTGGGAGAAGAATTAGATGACTGTAATGTAAAGTTAATGGAACTAGATGCAGCAGTACAAAAATTCTCTGAAGAGAATGGCCAACTGGGTAAACCGCTGGTCAAGAAGATAGAAAAACTGACCGAACTCCACCAGCAGACCATTAGGCAGACTGAGAACCGGTTCTCCAAGCTCAGTGAGGTATGTTTCCCAATCCCTTCACTGAAATCCTGGAAGGCAGGCCTTTCGTGTTCTGTTGTTCTGATTTTGTAAAAGATAATGTTGGCAGTGATGGAGAGTAATCCAGGTGGAGCTTGTTCCATACTATACCGTGGTCCTAAGATTTATACTTCAACCTGCATTTGTTTTCCACCAAACCATGTTATAAATTCACTGCCAAAGAGGGTCACATAAATGGGCTGTGGGGTGAATGTTTCATAACCTGCAGAAGTATGAAAAGTGTTTTGTAAAGTAATCACCCGTTTGCATGTTTTATGATAATCAGTTGTGGGGTGAATTCAAATATCTTAAAATAAGATATATATATATTATGAAGTTGCATTTATTTAGGGGATTCAGGTTGACCATCCCCCATAATTGTTGAGTCAAGAATGGACTGCTCAAAAGTTAAATAAGAAGTTGACAGCCAATGAATTGCAGTACTGCAACCTGGCATCCATAACCATCACCTGCTACCTCCTGACCCACTGACTATCCTATGGGTGTTGAGATAGGAGGAGGCTTAGAGGGGATGAGCTGGATAGAGGAATAGGATTTGGATTGGAGAAGTAAGAAAAAATCATTCAAGCATATTAAGAACTTTGACTTTATCTTACAGTCACTAGAATGTCTGACAGATTTTCAACAGGGAAATTACTTTTCATGATATTTTAAATATACAGATATTTTAATGATCAGCTCCCAGAATTGTTATATCAAAAGGGGCAAACAGAAGACTGATATACAGCTCAGGAAGCAGAGTTTACAATTGGTACCCAAATGTTCATGATTTTTCAGGCAGCATCACATTTGGAAGAATACAGTGAAATGCTAGAACTTGTTTTGAAGTGGGTTGAGAAAGCAAAAGTCTTGGTACATGGAAATATTGCATGGAATTCTGCAAGCCAGCTTCGGGAACAATACATTTCACATCAGGTAACTTTGAGAATTTGTTTGTAGACGGTAACTAAAAGAGCAGTTTGATACTTCGCTAGGTGGACACAACATTTAGAGGACCATGATGTAAAAGCACTGTAGTTGCCAGATGAAATAAGGCATGGTTCCAGTGGCACGACAGAAGTAGCTACTCATGAGATTTCATAACACTGTGGGGCATAAATATATGCCATCTCCTCTAGACTTTCGTTTCCCAAAACCAAAATTAATCAGCCCCATAGGACTTTTTTTTTTTTTTTTCCAGCTACTTTGAAACTTCTTTGCAGGGATATGACAGGATCAATCTTTCCCCATAAAGATATAGAGTATGATAGAAAGATGATGGGCTCCTGATGCAGTTTGATGGGAAAACCAAATGTTGCCATTTGAAAGTGTGTTATTAGGAGCAAAAACACTTGGCCTCACTGAGTTCCATTTTCTGATCTGTAAGATGGGGATGTGAATAATATCTCCATGGCACTGTCATTTTGAAGATCGAATGTTTTAGCCTGTGCGGACTCCTAGCCACGACCTAGCATGTGTAGGCGCTCTGCCGGAGTTCTTGGGTGCCTCCCTCCCACCCTTCTGTGAGCTGGAGGTCACATGGCCTTCCACAGGAAGAGGGCGATCAGCCTGGAACAAGCAGGGAGCCTCACATTACACGGTGGCTATGTTACTTCATTTCCTCTGAAGCCACTTGACAAAAATGTTCCTTTTGTCTTGGTCATATCATCCAGGAAATGATTTCATCCTTTTATAATTTACACTTGATTTAGATACAGATATCTAATAGCCCAGTATTACCTTGCAATAAAATGCAGGATTACTTAGTTTATGTTACATGAATGTCTTCAGGTAGCATAGACTTTCTCTCTTACATTCTGAGGTGTACTTACCTGTGTCTTTTGCGTCCAACCCCATGTAGCAGAGTTCTAGAGCAAAGCCTCATTTTCTCCTTTCTGGCACGTTTTAACAGCTTCTTAGTTGGTTTCCTGTATCCACCATCTTTCTTTCCTAACTGATCTTTCACACACCTCCCAAGGCAGTCTTCCTTAAATAACCCAAATTTTCTACTTGTGGGTGTGCTTAGCTTAAGTAACAATTCGCTTACAATTGGCTTGAAATATAGTTCAGCCCATTACAAATCTGTAAATGCCAATCAAAGCAGAGAGAGAGAAAACTAGAGAGAGCAAGCATTTGAACTATCAACACTGTTTTTTAATTGTTCCTATTTGATGAAGTGAGAGCTTTCCAGCACTGCCGGTAATATGGTAAAATTTTTGGAAATCAACTGGCAAAATGTATCGTGATCATCAAGAATGTTATTACTCTTACCTGATGATTATGGTTTTTGGACATTATACTGAGGCTACAGTAGTGCCTAAGGCACTTGACTGCTAACCAGAAGGCTGGTGGTTCAAACCCACCAGCCACTCCTCGGAAGGAAGGTTGGGCAATCTACTTCCATAGTGATACCACTTTGGAAATCCAAGGAGGAGTCACTATGAATCAGGTTCTACTCAACGGCACATAACAACAACAACACTGAGGCTATATAATCCAAAATGTAGGAAATATTCTATGCAATATTAACTATAGTGAAATTTTAAAGAAAATGTAAATGGCAAATAGTTTTTCTGAGTAAATTTTTATATATGATGGGATAGAAATGATCATGAGAATTTTTTTGATGGTTCCTGCACACATTCATTCATTTATTTAGTCAACAGACATTTGTTGAGTATTTTTCAAAATTAGGAATTTTCCTATGCATACAGAATAGAAAGAATTCTCTCTGTCCTTGCCTCCAAAGAGTAAATCATGTAGAGGAGGAGGCAGATGAAAAGCCAGAGGCGGTTACGGTCCATACGATAAGGGTGAATCCGTGGGTGGTGCAATCTGTTGACCTACTCACCTGCTAACCACAGAGCTGAAGGCTGGAATTCACCCAGCAGCCTGGTGATCTTCCAAAACATCAGTCATTGAAAACCTTCTGGAGCACCGTCTACTCTGACACACATGAGGCCGTCATGAGTTGGAGTCTACCTGGGTGGCAACCATTTTTGTTGTTGATGCTGTTTTTGTTTGTTTGTAAGCGGCCCCAGTGTTCTGAAGGATCAGCCTGAAGGAAAATGTGTATATATATATATAAATACAGTGTATATATTATATATATATACACTATATATATATATAGTATATATATATATTATATACTATATATATATACATAAAACATTCATTGTGAGAAAAAAAATGCACATTTATTTATTTATTTACATGTCTTTACCTTTTATTTATGGTACAATAGGGTCTATTGCCAAAGATTGAAGTCCCACCTCTAGTCCGCCCTTTATGTATCACACACACCAGTAACTGCTCATTCTGTGCTCACCTACCTCTGTGCCTTTGCTTATGCTGTTCCCTCAGCATGAAATGCCTTTCCTCCCCCTCTGTATCTATAGTGCAAACAAACACCCTTTAACCTGAGCTCAAATGTGACTCCACCAGGAAGCCGCCTCCCAGCCTTCCAGCCAGTCCTGGCCCACCTCCCTTCGGCCAGCCCTTAGCCCTCAGCTCTTTCACTCTGCTTTCATATGATGCTTCCTCTATGGCTGTTTGTCCATCGGTATCATCATTACTCCCCATAGATTATACCACCCTGAATGGTAAGGGCTATTTAATTCCATTTGGTATCCCAACTGGTTTCTACCTTTTCTTCTTACTTAAAGCAAGTGATCCTTTGTTAGTAATGCTTTTATTTCTTAGACAATATGTATTTAGATGGTAGATGCAGAATATGAGCGCTGAAAAGTGCCTTTAGTTTCAGTATGAACAAAGCAAGGCCTGGGCCTGATCCAGGCGCCCTTTGGGGTAGAGACAGAGCAAAAGCCTTATGGGCCAGCAAGTCAAACACGTGACAATTGTTCACAGCTCCTGAGCCTCGATTTCTTCCTCTGTGAGACGGCACTGCAGTAGGTGGCTCCCGTAGGGGGCGGAGCAGGGCTGTGAGGGGCCAGCTCGGCAGCACACACACTGAGCCCGCACGGCATCCGTGGGAGGCACGAGTTACAGCTCAGTCCCGGCCCAGTCTGGGTGCTTTGCACCACGCCCTCTCGACTTTGTGCGCCTCTCTGCCCACATGACCTCTTTATGGTTCTGATTTCTCAATTCCATTAATATTGACAATCCACCCTAGAGCGTACTAGAAGAATCGGAAGAAGTTCACAGTGACCTGGAAGCCATGGCCAAGAAACTGCAGTACCTTTCTAGTGTCTACTGTATAGAAAAAATGTCTCAGCAAGTCTCGGAATTGGGACGTGAGACTGAGGAGTTGCAACAGATGATCAAAATGCGTTTGCAGAATCTGCAAGATGCTGCCAAGGTGAAAAGAAAATCTATATGTCTGTATCTATATGACTATATATGTATGTGTGTATATATATATATGTGTGTGTGTGTGTGTGTATGTGTGTATTTGGGAGCTCTGGTAGCATAGTGCCTAAGGCACTTGACTGCTAGCCAGAAGGCTGGCAGTTCAAACCCAACAGCCACTCCTTGAAGGAAGATGGGGCAATCTACTTCCGTAGTGATACTGCCTTGGAAACCCAAGGAGGGGTCGTTATGAGTCGGGTCCAATGCAATGGCATATGTATGTGTGTATGTGTGTCGGGTCCAATGCAACAACATATGTATGTGTGTATGTGTGTGTATGTATATCCCTGTGTATAATCATACATGTAGGCGATGGTGAGTCAGTGGTAGAAGTCTTGCCTTCCATGCAAGAGACTCAGGTTTGATTCCAAGCCAGAACACCTCAAGTGCAGCCACCACCCATCTGTCAGTGGAGGCTTGCCTGTGGTGACTCTGACAGGTTTCAGCAGCATTTCCAGACTAACACAGATTGGGAAGAAGAATCTGGCTATCTACCTCCCCAAATCATCCAGTACAAACTCTGTGAATAGCAGTGGTCCAGTCCCATTGCATGGTGTCTCTATGATCTGGGGGCTGACTTGATGGCATCTAACCATATAAGCAAACACACACACACATATCTTTTGCAGAGACGGCAGTGCCACTAGGGCGATATGTGTTAACTTCTGATGTGGTTTCTTTGCTGTGAAGTTATTCCTCATCCAGGACTTCAGACTCCAAGTGTCTATATATTGATATTCATGTGTTTTACTCGCCAGGATATGAAAAGGTTTGAAGCAGAGCTGAAGAATTTACATGCTGCTCTGGAGCAAGCCCAGACAACTCTGACGTCCCCAGAAGCTGGACGTCTGAGTCTCAAGGAGCAACTGTCTCATCGACAAGTAGGCAAAAAATAATTAGGGCAAATGAGTGAGGACTTGCAGTTTAAAAAGTGGACAGCTGTGCAAAACAGTTCCTCCAGTCACTTAATGTCTTTGCACTACATGCATTATTTCAGGAAAATATTTCTAACTTGTACCATAGCTGTGTGGAGTGTTTGACTGTTAACCAAAAGGTTAGAACCCGCTCCCACGCACCTCAGAAGAAAGGTCTGGTCCTCTGCTTTGGAATAGTCACAGCCATTGAAGACCCTATGGGGTTCAGTTCTCTTCTGCACACACGGGTTCTCTTATGAAATAGGGAATAGTTTAAATTATACATGAGTATAAACTCATTTCAAATAAATTGAATAATTAATGTTACGTAATAGACATACTTAATACGAAAATATAATTTTAGATTATGTTGGAATTGACTTTTTCAAATTTGACATCATATTTTCAGCATTTGTTGTCAGAGATGGAGTCACTAAAGCCAAAGGTCCAAGCTGTGCAGATCTGCCAAAGCGCGCTTCGTATCCCCGAAGATGTGGTCACCAGCCTGCCGCTCTGCCACGCAGCTCTGCGCCTGCAGGAGGAGGCCAGCCGGCTGCAGCACACGGCTGTCCAACAGTGCACCATCATGCAGGCAAGTGCAGCGGTGCCCCCAGGGGACTGTAGCTATCTCCCTGCCGGCAGAGCGAGAGAGAATGAGTCATGGGCTGCTTTTATTAGCATTGTGTGGGCTCACCCATCAGAACACATGCACGGGGTTGAACCTGACAGACTGTTGGGTTATGTAAAAGGAGATTAAAATGCTATCATTTGGATCACCCCCAGTACCTGGAGAGGGCTCTGTTAAAAATATCCTTTGGTGAAAGCTCTCTTTCAGTGATGTCTTTTGTAAAGAGCAACTTCTGAAGGATAATTTTATATATCATCATGTATTTTTATCTCTTCTTAACATCCTGAGAATCATCTGAGTTGAATGTTGCCATATATCACAGAATGTTTTCCATATTTCAGCTTTTGGTGCATGAAATGCAATTTCTTGCCTAAGAAGTACATCTAAGTGTTTCACTCTTAGAAGGGAAAATTCATTTGCAATAAAGAAATTCCATTATTTACTCATATGTCCTTTAAACTAAAAAATGCCTCCCATTAAATTGCTGGTGGCACACTCAGTCAACTATCCTTGCTCCTTGCATTATCTCGTAATTGGTTAGATAGTTGATCCCTAAGGATAGAAGTCATGCATAATTCATTTTTATCCCCAGCTGTGGCTCTTAGTTCAGCACCTTCCTTATCTATTGATTATTTCTGAGGTAGAAAAATGAATGAATCATGATTTTCATACTGCTCCCTCTCTTCTAACTATTACATTGGAATCTCTAGGTCAATATGAGCAGGGAGAAGACAGTGGATTCTAACCACTTACCTATTTGGATTTCATCTTTTTTTTTTTTTTTTTTAGGGAATGTGTAAGTTGAGGCTGAGAACCAGCTGGAGATTTTACCCATCATTCCTTCTATTTCCCAGACTCCCAGGGAAGTGGAACCCTGGACTTTGGCAGACAGCAGCACAGTCTCACACACACAGTTGCTGAGATCAAAAGCAAGCCATGTGTTTTTTGTTCACAGGAGGCCGTGGTGCAGTATGAACAATATGAGCAAGAGATGAAGCACCTCCAGCGGCTAATCGAAGGGGCCCACAGGGAGATCGAGCAGAAGCCGGTGGCCACCAGCAACATCCAGGAGCTGCAGGCTCAGATTTCTCGGCACGAGGTAAGATGAGCACGTGGGCAGAGCGCCAGGGGCAGGAAGCTGACTTGACCGGGATATAGGATTCATTTCCAATAAATGACAGAGAAAGGCATTCTTGTCCTGCATGGCACTTCTACAGCTCTTTGGCTGTCTTTGCGTTTTCTGGGCTATTTTTGCTAGTCCTTTCCAAGACTGTGATGTGAGTCTTCCCCTTGCCTCTGTAACCTCTTTAGAAGTGACATCTCTCAACCAAGACACACTGACTATTTCTTACAACTGGAATTGTCATGTTTAAGATATTAAATTTAGTTTAATCCCTTATTTAAAGCCCACAATAAACAGCTCAAAGTCTTGCTATGTTGATTGCCCTCTTTACAAAGAAGAAACATCCTTGAATCTTTCAAACGTCAGTCATGATTTCTGCTTCTTTCACCAAAATCATAGTTGTTGTTGTTGTTGTTATGTGCCGTCGAATCGTCCCCAACTCATAGTGACTCCTCCTTGGGTTTCTGAGGCGGTTTCACTACGGAAGTAGATTGCCCAACCCTCCTTCCGAGGAGTGGCTGGTGGGTTTGAACTGCCAGCCTTCTGGTTAGCAGTCAAATGCCTTAGACACTATACTACCAGAGCTCCTCCAAACTCAGAGAGTCGTCCATATTGTTTCTTTGGCCCATTTCCAGTTGGGTCTTGTAGTAAATCCCCCGTTTCCAGATGTGCCTCTTCTTTGTTCCTTTGGCACCATTATGGTCCTTCCAATCAATGGATCAATCAATCAATCAATCAACCACCCAAACTCATTGCCATCAGATCGATGACGACTCACAGCATCCCTACGGGACAGAACAGATCTGCTCCAGAGGATTTCCAAGGCTTTATGGTGGCAGACTGCCACAATCTTTCTCCCACAGTGAGGCTGCTGGGTTTGTACCACCAACCTTTTGAGGCAACTCTTCTACAGACGTAGGCTCAGATAGATCTGATGGGGAGCTCTCTATGACCTTGGACAAGTCCTTTACGGTTTTGGATCTTTGAGCCCATCAAAGATTTTGTGTTTGATGGGCTCAAAAAAGTTTGTGTTTGAGCCCATTGATGCTTTGAAGTTAATTTCTTTTCCTGACCTGTCAGTTCCTATAGAGGGCACTCTTTCTCTTGGGAGCTGGTTCATAGCATCATGGATGTTGGTAAGTGACTAGGGTAGTAGCTGCTGTTGTTAGGTGCCAGCGAATCAACTCTGACTCACAGCAACCCTACGTGACAGCGCAGAGCTGCCCATAGGACTTTCTAGGCTGTAATCTTCAGGACTTTGACTGCTAACCAGAATAGAAGGTTCGTGGTTCAAACCTGCCAGCTGCTCCATGGAAGGAAGATGGGGCACTTTATTTCTGTAAAGATTTACCACCTTGGAAACCCGATAGGGGTTGCTATGAGTCAGATTTGACTTGATGACAGTGAGTTTGGTTTTGGTTTTGATTTAATCTTTACAGAAACTGATTGCCAGCTCTTTCCCCAAGGAGCCTCAGGGTGAATTTAAACAGCCAACCTTGTGGTTAACAATTGCATTAACCAATATAGTTGTGCCACCAGGTCAAGAGATGCCTTCTTTCTCTGCACAAAGGATAGAGGTTTAGTTGAGCTTTTTATTACTCCATCTCAAGTCTATCATGAGAGCAACAAACTATTTCTTCCAAACCAAATATTCTAGTGAGGCTTTAGAAGATCAAAGTTTTCTCATTGAAGGAGGGAAAATCTCACCACCATCACCCCCTCCTCATCCCAATGTAGCTCTTAACTTTCCTGACACATCCAGTTCATTAATTGCTACATGTATAGATGACAAAATAGGTTCAGCAAATATTATACCTACATGTATTCCTGTTGTTGTTGTAGTCAGCCCCGACTCATAGCGACCCCTCCTTGGGTTTCCGAGGCAGTATTACTATGGAAGTAGATTGCCCCATCTTTCTTCCGAAGAGTGACTAGTGGGTTTGAACCGCCAGCCTTCTGGTTAGCAGTCAAGTGCCTTAGGCACTGAGCTACCAGAGCTCCTACATATATTCCTTCCTACAATTGCAGATATCATCCATGAAAAACCGACAAACCAAACTCACTGCCGAGTCCATCTGGACTCACAGTGACCCCCTTTGGGTTTCTGAGGTGGTAAATCTTTATGGAGGTAGATTGCCCAGTCTTCCTTCTGTGAAGTGGCTGTTGGATTTGAACCATCAACCTTCTGGTTAGCGGTCAAGTGCCGTAGGTACACACCACCAGAGCTCCTTGATATCATCTATACGAACTATTTATTCATCCTCTGCCATTGGTTAAATGAAAATATGTTGTGCAAAGTTTGGAACCATTGATGTAATTCATATACTGGACTATATGGTAAATACTTATTTTGAAATTCTTTCTAATCCCATTTCATAAGATCCAGAATTTACTACAGAATTCATTATGATCCAGAAAATATTATGAGTCAGAATTGACTCGATGGCAGTGAGTTTGGGTTTTTTTTTTTTTTTTTTTGGCATAGAGAAAGAATAATAATGGTTATTAAAGTATTTTGTATTTAAAAAATAATAAGTTTTACATCATCTTTTCATATGAGGTTGGAATCTTTTTGTTTTGTTTTTACTGCCTTCATTTCAGTGTAGAGTAGAAAACTAAAAAACTACGGAGTAGTTGGGAGAGTAACTTCCTGAGCACCCTTAGTAGCTAATAAAAACCAGACTCAACCCCAGTGTCTTTGGCTCCAGATTCCATGATTTTTCCACAGTAGCAGTAACCATTTGGGTTACCTCCCTGCATAGACAAAAAGAACAAAGATCCAAAACCAGGAAGGCCTTGTCCAAAGTCATAGAAAGCTTCTCATCATCTCCCTTAGAAATAGGGTATGACTTCCTGGGTCCTCGTTCAGTGATCTGCTCATTTTGTCACATTTGTTCCTCGTAATTATAAGCATTCACGTGAGCATTTGTTAGTTCTGCAACGTGGTATATAACACATGTCATATAAGTAATGAGGCAACCTTGTGTGAGGTTCATTGTATGTTAAAGACAAACACAGGAAGGAAAGTCCAACAGGAATAAAGTGTGGTTTCTGGTAATATAAGAATTGTAGCCCCCAGAGACCCCAGATCTTTCTAATGCATGAGAATGGATAATACATCGCCCATCAGTGCTCTGTTTTATCGTCCTTGGCTTGTCCACGGCATTATCAACCAACCCACAAAGGTAGAAGGATACAGAGCAGGTTACTCAGACTGAAGAAGACCCTGGACATTGTTTCTTAGAGGCAGTCATCTGGACTCACTACTAACCACAGTTGTCACAAAGCTAGTAAATCTCAATTACTGGAATCCCAATAACCAAGAATTGCATTTTTAGAAAATAACCCAGGTGAGTTTTGTGCACAGTAAAGTTAAGAATTCAGGTATGAGCAGTGAGGCGCTTGCTATCAGCGTGGGCATGCCTAGTATGTACTTGGGCACAAGACTCTTTGCTTGGGCACCAAGGGTAGAAAGCTGAGACTATCTCTGTCTACTTCACAAAGATCCTCCAAATCTACCTGATAGGATGGCAATCCATTGTGGAAAGCTCAGTGACTTGTCCTGTGAAAATATGGAACTGTGTTAACTAATTATACTAGATATTTTTTATTGAGTAACTATGGGACCTTAAAAAGAGCCCCGGTATTGATGTGGTTAAAGCATTGGGCTGCTAACCAGAAAGTCAGCAATTCAAACTCACCAGCCACTCTGTGGGAGAAAGATGTGGCAGTCAGCTTCCATAAAGACTTACAGCCTTAGAAATCCTATGGGCCAGTAGCACTCTGTCCTATAGGGTTGCTATGAGTTAGAATTAGCTTACCACAGTAGGGTCTTTTTGTGGTGAGTGGCACAATTGGGTAAGTGCTTGGCTGGTAAGGAAAAGGTTAGGAGTTCGATTCCCACCCAGAGGCACTTTGAAAGAAAGACCTGCAGTCTCCTTTAAAAAATCAGCTGTTGAAAACGATGGAGCACGGTTCTGCTCTTAAGGGCAGCTGATTGTGGTACTTGAGGGCAGCTGTTTATTCCAGGTTCTAGGTTAGATATAGGCAGTAGCCATTGAATGACAATAACAAAACCTTATTACATTTAATTAAGTATCTGTAGCCCCAGAAGGTAAAGAGGTGATGATTTTCTAACCCAACGGGCGTTGTTTTGAAAAATTTCTGGTTAAAAATTTCCTGGGCTACACTAGAAGTCAAAACAGGCTGCTGCTGACCCTGTGGGACTGCCTTCCCTCCAAGGGTCAGTTCTGGTTGAGAGGGAAGAACAAAGCCAGCGATAACAAGAACAAAGTATCATGTATGTGTGTGTACACACACATGTATACATGTATGTATGTCTTCGTGTGTGTATACATATGCACACATATTGTTATAAAGGTGTTAGCATGTGTGCCTTTGTAACCAGATATGTTCTCTACAAACACCAAATGACAGCTTTTCAGCCACAGGGGCCAAGTATAAGTAATGGAAAAGAGTAATTGTTTTGTAGGTCTAGGATTCATGTTTTGGAATATGCAGTTTTATTTCTTTATGATGCATTATATTTTAAGCAAGAAAAGTGGAACTTCAATATTTTGCAATTAACATACTCCTAAATACATCCATGGAGCTCTAGTGGCACAGTGCCTAAGGCATTTGGCTGCTAACCAGAAGGGTGGTGGTTCAAACCTACCAGCTGCTCCACGAAGGAAGATGGGACAATCTACATCTAAAGAGCCTTGGAAACGCAGTGGCGGTGGCTATGAGTCGGAATCACCTTGATGGCAGTGAGTTTGTTTCTTTTTGGTTTTAAATATATCCATAGTTACCTTCTACCGAACTGTGTGCTGTACAGAATATATTTTAAATAAGCTCTTGGTAAAAAATTTAAAAACCTCTGCCTCTGAACACAATTTTTTTTCAGTACTGAATGAACTTAAAGGCCATTAAATTTGAACTTCAGCTTGAAGGCTGTGGTTTGAAGCATCACACAGTTGAGACATTGATGGCGTACATAAGCAAAAATTTAATGAATGTAAAGAATTTTATTGGAGGAAATCACATTAAAAGTTAAGATTTCCCCGATATACTATTTGAGGAGCCCTGGTGGTGCAGTGGTTAAAGCGCTTGACCACAAACTATAGCAATTTACTAAGATGTGGCAATCTGTTTATGTAAAGATGCATGGCCTCAGAAACCTTTGGGCCAGTTCTGATCTGTCCTGTGGGGTTACTATGAGTCAGAACCAACTCAGCGCCAGTGGGTTTGGCTCTGGTTTTATGTACTATTTAGCTTATCTAGAAACAAACAAACAAATCCACTCTGTGTGGTCATAGGATATGACAGGCCGTTTATGACCCTGTCTGTAATAAACCGCTGTTTTCTCTATTTGATGTATTCAGTCTATTAAGAGCTGAGCACTGCATTTTTATAGTAACATGACCTCATTTCCATGGCATGAACCATCTGGCAAATTTCAGAGTCTTTAGGCATTTTAGCCAAAGGTTCCAGTTCTTCATGTTAAGTAAGTTCAAGAATCCAACTGGAGCCTTGCTGACAATTAGAAACCGCTCACCCGCATCACGTTCTCTTCGCTTTTGTCCCCAAGCGAAGCGCACACGGCACTTTTCCTGTCCCCTAGTCCAGCCCCGGGCGCTGTGGTTTGGCTCGCTGCGAGATGCAGTCTGACTTGCTGGAGTCCTCAGTCCACATCCTGCCTCTTGGCGGCTGCAGCTGCTGCCTAGAACTGCCCTGCGATTTCATTGGCTGGCCCCGGAGCTTGTCGGCCGAGGAAGATGAACGCTACTAGTTCTGTTTCCTTTTGATGCTGCTCTGACACGCGGGGGTGGGTGGGGGGGAATATGTTTCCGCAGGAGCTGGCTCAGAAAATCAAGGGCTACCAAGAGCAGATCGCCTCTCTGAATTCCAAGTGCAAGATGCTGACCATGAAAGCCAAGCACGCCACTATGCTGCTGACGGTGACCGAGGTGGAAGGGCTGTCGGAAGGGACCGAGGACCTGGATGGGGAGCTCCTCCCCACGCCTTCGGCCCACCCCTCTGTGGTCATGGTAAGAGTTAGTCCGAGCCATTCCCCTGGGGGCGCGTTCTCTGACTGCACCTGGGTTTCTATCTCCTGGGCCCCTCTCCTGGGCTTGTTTCAGGGATCAGCCTTGGATCTTGCAGATTCCAATTGAAGAACAGGTTCTTCTGAACTCTGACTACATTTGGGCAGAGGCCAATCTTTGACACTGTAAACAGTGACACTAAAATGAAGCCATTTCCTTGAGATTGCTGAATAACTTAGCATGTCAAAGGGCCCTGCGTTTGTTTATAATTTAGAAATAATAATGAGAGGCTCTAGGTTTTACAGAAAACCCGTTTGCACATTTCTCTAGTTTTCTGGGGGATGGGAGAAATCTTGGTGCCTGTATTCATTTGTGTTTTCTGAACTGAAACACCAGGGAACTAGATATGTGCATGTGTTGTGTTGGGTAAGTGTTTAATAAAATTTAGAAAAGAAAGAAACAAAAAAAAGCTATTACTGGAAAGATAATGTTTTGCTTTGGATTAAAATAAATACACTCCAGGAGTTTCTATTCAGCACCATTCTTTCCCCATGCGCTTCGCAAGGAAAATACCTTGATTATTTTGGTCACTGCAGTATTTGCCAGCACTACATATTTTGCACATATATATTGTATCTTGGGAAATAAATAACCCTCCTTGGCAATATGTTATTTGGGGCATATTTCCCTAGAATATTTGGAAATTGGTCTACAAAAGGCCAAGGAGCTCTGGTAGCATAGTGCCTAAGACACTTGACTGCTAACCAGAAAGCTGGCGGTTCAAACCCACCAGCCACTCCTGGGAAAGAAGGTTGGGCAATCCTACTTCCATAGTGATACTGCCTCGGAAACCCAAGAAAGGGTCAATATGAGTCAGGTCTGACTTGATGGCACATAACAGCAACAACAACAAAAGAACAAGCTTTATTTCATAGATCTTTTGAGTTATTTACAGACACACACACACACACACACACCCCACACACAAATGCATTAAAGAAATGTTTGATCAAAAGCAAAAAGCTATAATATAATATGTACACCCACCTGTTTGTTGTAGAAATGGTCCTTAGTATCATATTCATCTGAGGACAAAAACTTTTAAATACTAACAGATAATTAATATTCACAACTAGGGGCTGGGTAATTTTAACCTATCTTTCTTATATATTGAGTTCTGTTTTAACCTGAACCCAACCAGGTCTTCTGTTGACCTAGCTAACTGATTTTCCTGTCCTTTGGGCTTACATTGTATGTGGCAGATGACTGCAGGTCGCTGTCACACTTTGCTGTCACCTGTCACTGAGGAGTCTGGGGAGGAGGGAACCAACAGTGAGATGTCCTCTCCACCTGCCTGTCGCTCCCCTTCACCTGTGGCTAATATAGATGCTTCTGTTAACCAGGTACCTCCTCTTTGGCATGCTCCCAGCTGTGCTCTCTGGAGGGGTGCAGTACTCCATTCTCTGCCCTTCTTAGCTATGAGTATGCATCACAGGCTTGAAAGCATCTTGTTCCAGGGTCACGCCATTAGGTGTTGTAGCTGCACAAACTGTGATCAAGCTAGGATTGTCATGTGAGACCACTGACTGGCTGTCCTTGGCTGCTGAAAATGAGATGAGCAAACATTAAACCTGTTTTCAAGTCAATTCTCCTGCAGGGTGGCTATTAGATTCGAACCGCTGACCTTTAGGTTAGCAGCTGAACACTTAACCACTATGCCACTGCAAAAAAATACATCATAGAGATCATAGCCCTAGAAAGGCCTGTTTTTAGAGGTTAGGGCTTTAGTTTTTAACCAGCCATCTGCAATGGAGTACTGCATCCTAACAGAAAATGAAATGTTTTTGTCATATTGTAAAACACCATGATGCATTGTTATTTCACCATCCCTTGAACATGGTTTCTTGACACTTAACAGCTAATATTTTAAAGATGGAAAACTTCCAGTCACCTTGCTTTTTCTTTCTTTATTTGTGAACAAATTTAAGGAATGTCTGCCTGTATATATACCACGATTTGAGATTTCCCGCTTATCTTTCAACAATTTTAAACATTATTTCCTATAAAATGGGCTAATACTTTGTGTTTTGAGATGCCTTTTAGCTTACATTAAATATAGATTATACTAATTAAGTAGATGAATTGAAGTGTTTGTGAAATATATTGGAGAGAAATGAAGAAAGATACTTTTACAATAATGATATTTTAAAATAAAAATGCATGTTAAGCAGTATTTTTAAAAAGCCAAAACAATTAAAATTATATTTTAAAATTAAGTTACTATCAAAGTGTGTGAGAGTCCAAAGCAATTGAGACGCATTAACATGGAAGATGTGTTCTATCAACAAATGTTCTGGAAGCCGTAGGGTAAATCCATCATATGCTAAAATAATACAGAGAGTGAATAATCAAACCTATGAATCAATCAGTCACAGTATTTTTATTTTTAAAGCAGATGCATCCAAAATAGAATTTCTGTCCTAATGGGAAAATAAGAAAAGAAAATTGCTAACATTTTAGGTAAAGCAGTTGTCTTTTGGTCAAACGTTATCTCCCTCTAGGGAAGTAATCAATTCTTCCGTACATCACATGCACTCTAGCCCCTTGGTAGACACAAAGCATCATGCTGGGAACTGGAGATGCAGCAGAGAGCACACAGCAGAGGCCTCTGAAATAGAGACTTCAGAGCCTGGAAGGAGAGGTAGATGGGGAACAAGTCATAGCAAAAGCAAGGAGAGGAAACTATAACATATTTTCAAAAAGGAGAAGTCAGGGAACTTGGGGGGATTTGGAAAATCATTCTCCAAATGCTGAATTTAAAAATGTGCATTACTCATTCTTTGACCCTCTGTTCTTCTCCGTGGTCACAGATGTTATTAGAGGAATTTAGCTATAGTCAGCTGTCTAAAAATGTATCCCACATATGATTCTCCTTATTCTTAAAAATGTCAGGCTGAATAATAAATACTGACCTGGAGATCCACACTGTAGATTGAATTTACCTTTTCTATGACTATGAGTCTCAATGTTCAGTATAACAGGTCTTCCAATTTACATGTGAAAGTCCTCTGTAAATGATAAAGCATGCATACATCTTTATTATTGTTACTTTATTTTTATTATTATTACTTTAAAGCTTAATGAGATCCTAAAACTATTGGTGAGATTATGCTTTGTTTTAATCCCCCTAGTCACAGGAAAGGAGCTCTGGTGGCATAGTGCCTAAGGCATTTGACTGCTAACCAGAAGGTTGGTGGTTCAAACCCACCAGCCACTCCTCGGAAGGAAGGTTGGGCAATCTACTTCTGTAGAGATACCACCTCAGAAACCCAAAGAGGGGTCGCTATGAGTCAGTTCCAACTCAACAGCAGTGAGTTGGTCCCAGGAAAAAATTAAATCACATTGTTACCCTAACATGCTTTTATCTAATCCCACATATTGGAGAAAAATTTCTTTATTCAGTTTAAATCAGACAGGGCTTTTAGTTAGAGGAATCTCTTAAAAAGGAAACATGTTTTATTTGCTGTTGTTCAAATAAGTCAGCTCATCGTTGTTGTTGTTAGGTGCCGTAGAATCAGTGCCTACTCACAGCAACAGAAGGAAAACACTGCCTGGCCCTGGCACCCTCACTCGTTGATGTGCTGGGGCCCGGTGTTGCAGCCGCTGTGTCAGTCCATCTCATTGGAGGTCTTCCTCTTATTTGCTGACCCTCTACTTTACCAAGCATGATGTCCTTCTCTAGGGACTGGTCCCTCCAGTAACGTGTCCAAGGTGCTGGAGACAAAGTCTCACCATCCTCACTTCTCAGGAGCATTCTGCCTCTGCCTCATCCAAGACAGACTTGTTTGTTCTTCTGGCAGACCGTGGTGTAGCCCGCGTTCCTCACCAACACCACAATTCAAAGGCATCAAATCAGCCCCTTTATTGCAGCCACGCTTTTTTATTATGCATTAACATCAGTGAGGGGAAATTTTTCAAAGTAGTACAATATGACCAGCAATGCATTGGATTTACGGCAACATATTCTATGGAAATTGAGGAGGGCATTGAGAATCCCCATAAGTTTCAGTTTTCAGACTTTACACACTGCACGGAATGCACACAGCTGGGCTGCACTGTTTCAAGGAGCAGCCAAATATAGCTGCTTTATGAAATCGCAGTTGCTCAGAAGACTGGTGCTTGCTGCTTCTGTAAGGGGATCCATGTTATGTAACTCTTGCATCCCACTCATAGTCACTAGCAATTACCAAAATGTAATGACAGTTTTGCCTCCTTGGGGGTGGAGATAAGGAGGCATCCCCAGAATTTGCTGCAGCCTTCCTGATCCCCTCCATGGCCCATCAGGACTTGGGCTCCGTGGAGGAGTTGAGAAGAGGAGAGGGTTGGAAAGGCTGTAGTGTAATAGGCAAGCCAGAAGCTCAGACTAGGGGCCCTGGGCTTCTCCTTCTACTCAGAGTATGCATGGAGAGTCCCTCCATCACTCATGGGTAAGTAGGAAACAGTACTAATGAAATTCACAAAATTGTGAAGATGAAATGGAAAGTTCATCCTGAAAGTACTTTTTAAACTAGAAAATGCTAATCACATTGTTTTCCAAGTTTATTTCCTTAGGCATCTACCTCTCATAATCCAGGCACATAACCAGTGACAGACATGTTTATAGCAGTGAGTCACTATGCTAAATATGACCCTTATTTAGTAGATACTTGTAGAACGGATATATTTATTGTATTGAATATATGGAATAGAATCCTCAAGTTGATCTAAACAATTTGTCTAAAAAACATTGATCTATTTTCAAGTGTTTTTGAGGAACCAGGAGTTTGTTATTCTTGCATGAGAAGCATGAGGCACACACACATATATGTATGTGCACATGCATGCATATACACATACTCACACACACATACACACACACCTGCATGCGAATAAAGGAACCAGTTTTTAAAAATTGAATTTAAATTATTGTAATTTAAAATACATTTTTTAACAACCTTACTTTATTCCAGCTTTTTGGGGGACCTTTTTGATTTGTTGTTGTTATTATTAGGTCCCATCGAGTTGGCTCTGACTCGTAGTGACCCTGTGTGCAATAGAATGAAACACTGCCCGGTCCTGTGCCAGCCTCACAATCCTTGCTCTACCTGGGCCCATCATAGCAGCCACTGTGTCAGTCCATCTCATTGAGGGCCTTCCTCTTTTTTTCTGACCCTCCACTTTACCAAGCATGAGATCCTCCTGTAGGAAATGGTCCCTTCTGACAACATGACCAAAGTAGGTGAGACAAAGTCTGGCCATTCTCACTTCTAAGGAGGTTACTGGCTGCACTTCTTCCAGGACAGATTTGTTCACTCTTTTCCTAGTCCATGGTACTTTTTTTTTTTTTTTTACAATATCCAAAGCAACGTTGTGTTTTCCCTTGTGGACTGCAATAGTATTACTATCTCAGTATATAAACATTAGAGTTTCCGAAAGTGTAGTTACGTGAGCTGTTCACTGTGAACATTTGTGCCTGCTTGTTATTTGCCAAACACTCTAATGTGCTGAGGATCAAAGATGAAAGGCACTGTCTAGCTTTAAAAGAGCTCACGGTCTTGTGTGAGAGTAGGCAAATAATTACGATAGAGCGTGACAAGGGTTGTGACGGGGGGAAGCACTGGCTGTCATGGGAGGACATACAATATGCACCTGAACCAGGCTGGGGCTCAGTCGGGTCAGCATTGGCCGTCTTCAGTTTTCTTAAGGGAGGAGCACAGGTCAGCAGGTTGGAGTGCAGTGGGACAGTGTGGGATGGAACCCTCCAGGTTAAAGGAATCACATGTGAGAAGGTTGGAGATAGGATGGAAAATGGTCCATCTAAGCACCTGCAAATAGTCCCAGTCCAACTGGAGAAACATAGATGTGGAGTAGAAGGAAGGGAGAAATGAGGCTGCGAGGGAATGCAAGACCCACGTTATGAATTCCGGAGAGTTTGCATTTTACCTAATGCTAATAGTTTCCTATTAAGGACATTAAAACAGCAGCCATGTTCAGAACTGAGACTTAGAACACTTCTTTCTGGATCACTGTGGGCAGGGGAGTGGAGGTGGGAAATTCCAAGTAGTGAAGCTACTTAAGTACAGAGGTTATGAACTCTAGTACCTGGTCCCTAGTGGTATATAAATGAGTAAAATATATAAATGAGTAATGGCATATAAATGAGTAAAACAGCTCCGTGTACATGTGTGCACATGGGTGTGCATGCATGTGTGCATATGTGGGTGTGTATGTGTCCGCATACATGTCTGCATGTATGTGAATATGCATACATCCATATGTGCATGTATGTTTTTGCGTGTGCAAGTCCACTCTGGAAAGATAGGTTGGAGTGAAGCATGGTTAGTTTTCCAGGTTTGTGAAGCAAGGATTGAAAGGGGCGAAAAAAACAAAGATATTGGCAAGAAAGAAATTTAAGTACTTTAGACACAGCTACAAGTCCATGTGGGGCAGACCTATTCAGTGAAGAGAGGTTATCATTAAAGGATATGAAGGACTACAGTGGAGTGGACTGAGGGTCAGTAGATGGGAGATCATCAAGGACTGGGGAGCACCAAGGAAATCCCCTCGAGAGGGTGACAGGATTAGGAGTGAAGAGGAAAACAATAATGTGAAGGATTTATCTGGAAGCCTCAGCAACAACAACGGATGAGTAGGTGCATTGACCACTCAAATATTACTCCATTTAATCATCAGGACAACCCAGTGTGGTGTCAATGAGGAGACTGATGCACTGGCTGTAAGTGACTTGCTGGAATTATGCTACATAGGAGAAGTTCAAGGAGAGTCTCGGGTGCTTTAGCTCCCCTTGTGACCTCAGTCCACTCCACCGCCCTGCCCTGCCCCTCACACCCCAGGACACCAGGCTCCCTCCTGATGTCACACTGACCTCCCAGGCGGTTCTGTACACTAGGGCCGCCCTGCCCTGTTTTGATGTTTTGTTGTTGGGGCTTTCTTTAGTACTTTTTACCAAAACATTATTTGCAATAAATCTCAAGTATTTTAACATATTTATCTTCAACAGTACAACTGCAAAATGAGTAATTTTTATAGCAGTAATTTCCAGATTATAAATATTACCCCCAAATTCACTTACTATTAAGACACAGAGAAGTAATCATGTAAGCATTTGAAAATACATGAATTAAATGTCTTTTTTTTTTTTTTTTTTGTGATTTGGGTGAAGA